CGGCGTCCGGGCGGCCGGCGCCCGAGGAGGGGAAGCGGCTCTGACCTTCGGCCGCCCTCCCCGCCGCCGCCGCCGCCCGGAGCCCGGCGCCCGTCGCGGCTTCGGGGTGGGGGGGATCGGGCATCTCGCGGGGGGCCCCCCACGCCGCCCCTGCTCGTGTGCGCGTCGGCGTGCCCCCCTCACGCCGCCCGTGCTGCCCCCTCCTGGGGCGGCCCCCGCGGAGCTGCCGACGGGCGTCTCCGCGGACGGCGTTTTCACGCGCTTCGCGGAGGGGACGGCCACGGACATGGTTTCCCCGGGACGTCCGTGACGTCAGGAGCCGTTCGCACCGGGGCAGGGATCTTTGTTTCCAGTTTTCTCTTTTTCAGCCGAAACTTAACTCGGCAAAGAATCTTTTTTCTTTTCTTTGTTTTTTTTTTTTTTCTTTCTTCCCTTGCCACGCCCTCTTCTCGCCGCACCACCCCCAATTGAAAATCACGAACAGCGTCGTTAATTGTATTCGCGTGAAAAGGCTCTTTAAAGTTCACATTGTAATGGCACCCCTATTTAATCTTGACCCCCCTAAGAGAGATGCTAAGGAATATTAGGAAAGCAGGAAAAACTCTGTAGTTTTAGAATGATTTTCTGCAGGGTTTGACATGGGGGGGCGGGGCGGGAGGGGAAGGGTAAGTGGTTTAAAAAGGATGCTTTTGGACATTAGTTGAATTATGAGGGAGGCGGTCACCTGAGTCCTGACTGTTCCCATTGAAACAAGGTAATAATCGGAGGGCTGGGGGAAAATGCACATTTGCAACTTAATTTACGTGACTTGTGACTTCCTATGTTTCTAGATTCTTGTAATAAAATTAAAAAGGAAAAAAAAATAAAAAAGACTGTGTATTTAGAAGCCAAAACTGGCGGTGGGGTCTTGAAGGAAGTATATGTTAAAAACAGCCAGCGTACAAAGACACTAGGTCCCTTTACCAGGAAAAACTGAAATATATTAACACTTAGGTCACGTGGACCTTGTGGTATCAGACTTGAATCTTTTATCTTCTGGCAGAAAGAGATTAAAACAGAACTGTGTTTTGAAAAAAAAGTGTCTCGATAGATTTTAATCTGCTTTTTTTTTTTTTTTGGAAATTAAACCAATGAATAGGTTGATTGTATGAGAAGTTAGTAAAGAGGCAGATAATTTCTGAATGAAGCAAAGCAACCTTATTGTTCCTAGTGGGGGAATGTAACCCTGAGGCCGAAGTCTCATTTCATTCCCCCCGAAGAAGTGACGTAAAGCAAGACTTTTCTGTGTTCGCCTTGGAGTCTATGTGTAGTTTGTTACTTTAAACATGCTTAAGTAGAGTGATTACATCTCCAGGAAAGTATTTGCAAGCATCACATTTAAGGAGCATTGTAAATGCTTCCCGGAGGTCTGGAATGTGGCAGGTGGAACCAGGTATCCCTCATTCCCACTGACACTGGAAGACCTTTAAAGACAGCCTGAGAGCTCCATAGGCAGGGAAAGGTAGGGATGCTTAGGAACATCCTGGCTGTCCCGCTTTGATTCATTAAGATAAAGGCAACAACACTTTACATTTCAACAGCATTTACTACTGTTGAAGGTAATCTCACAGGTGCTATTTCATTTGTAATCCTCACAATTATTCTGTGACGTGAGCAAGGCACTTTGGAGGTAAAAAACAAGCAGGCTCCAAGGTTAGATGTGTGGCCCCCAGTCTCAGAACTCCGAAGTGTGAGCTCTCCAGTTGCTGAACTGGGGAAAAACTGCTATTTCTGCCTGCTACTCTCTGGTCGTATAGTTCATGGCCTGTGTTGAGTTAAGACCAAAATTAGTTTTTAGAGGTAAGAAAATATTGACTTGATATAGAGGTGTTTTTTTTTTTGTTTGTTTTTTATCTATTTGTCATAGGACATAAGTATGACACAATTCTTTTTTTCGTTTAGGGAAAATCCAGAAAGAACCTTTGACTTGGTACTGAAAGTGAAATGTCATGCCTCGGAAAATGAAGGTATGTGTTTTTTGTTCATTGTTAAAATGATTGAGGCTGTCAGAACCAGTGTTCATGTTGCAGACTCCTGGAACGTGATAGTTTTGGGATAATTCTAAATGCATATTCTGCACCTACTGTCTCAAACTGCTGGTAATAAAAGATGGTAGGTCTTTGGCATGAGCTGGTAGAGATCATGAGTGTTATCTGTGCAGCTTAAATTTCAGGTGTGTGTTATACGTGTAATTTACAACTCAACTTCATCATTCGTGGATGAAGTTTTGGCGCAAGGTCACAGTGCCTTTTCATTGTCTTTCATCCGTCTTTGAAAATTTAGCTCCTTTTTTAAACACCAGTGAAAATTCTCCTGCCGCTGCAATGGGAACCACCCAATTCTCTTCTAACGTTTCCAGAATAGTCTCCTCTGTTGGATTTACTCCAGTAGAATAGCACTTTCAGAGGAAGGTAAACAACAGTGTGTGTCATTACTTGGAAGGGTTTTTCAGCTGTCAGTTTCTGTGTATCTTCCGAGAACACTTTGGCATCGTGATTTTTGTCGTTTTTTTCACTTTTGTCGTGTGTGTGTGTGTGTGTGTGTGTGTGTGTGTGTGTAGGGAAGGGGTGGTAGAAAAGAATATTGTCTTCTGTCCTTCTCAGTGTGTCCCTATGTGATATGTTTTCATGGCTATATCTCCAGTGTTGATTTTATTGGCAGTGTACTTAGGTCCTAGATAGCATGCTGAGTACGCGTGGGATTCTATGGACACTAGTTGTCCATTCGAAAGGCTTAGTGGAAAGGCTGCTGACACTCTTAGCTCTAGAAACTGGCCAGCAATTATATCCGCTTAAGCAATTTGGAGCCACACACCTTAAAATAGAGGGGCCCCACCCTGCGGTGGCAAATGGGCATGGCTAATTTTAGGGAGGAAGTCGCACACTCCCAGCTCCAGCAGCCCTGTGGGCTGCTCTTCTGACCTTTTGAACAGCACTGTGCTCAGGTGTGTCCTGGGCAAGGGCAGGGACTGGTCGCAGGTTGTAGGGAGCTTTTTCTGATTCAAAAGGTTATCTTGTGTTGTCCTATGTGTACTAAAGTTTGTCCATTTATGTACTTTTCAGGCCCAACCAAGTTTTCTCTGACGACTCAAATTTATACATGTTTTTCAGCTCTAATTTAAGTTTATTCTGTAGTATATTTATGATACAAATCAATCTTCAAAATACCTACCATAGCATTAGGATAAGGTGTGTGAAGTAATGCTTACCTGATGTGTTTGTAAAACAGGCTACATTCCCAAGGAATTTATATTCTATAATTTTATTTTTCTCCCTAAGAACAAAATCTTTTTATTGTTTAAAACGTATTATAGAGTGATCATATTTCTTTTTTCTAAAATAAAGTTTAAAAATATTGAATTTTTTCTATTATCTTTAAATGTAACTTTAATAATACATTGTATCTGCACAACAGAGAGTGAAGTTAATGAAATCAATCTTATTCTACTTCAATTGAAATGAGTTCAAATGTTGCAGAATAAAATGCTTTGGCTGAAAAGTTTGCTCCAGTTTTTAACCTTCTTAACTGAAGTAAATTATAGTTCATGTCCTCTGGGTCCACCGCTAATGATTCCCAGAGAAAGAGATTATAATTACTTTTAATCATACTGTTTTGCCTTGGTTGTACATATTAATTTCTGTTAGTCCACAGACATACCCCTGAAATTCATAAGTACATAGATCTATTTTCCATCATTTTCTATTTATCAATTAGAAACACACTATAAAGGGAGCAAGCACAAGTGCTTATTGGGGGAAAAACAGTGCATTTTTAAAGATTGCTGGTATTCAGTCATTCAAGTCAGAAAGCACATCCAGTCTCCTTTCAGTTCTGACAGAGACGCTATGTTTGGGCCTTCCTTACGTTATATTATGGCTAAGGAGAGTCCAGGCTTTATTTTTAAGATCCTTACTTGGAAGGTTTCCTTCTATGTGGCAAGAGTGGTTACATTAAAATATAAATACAAAAAAAATTAAATTGCAACAAAACACTGTTTTCTCCGAAACAATTTTTGCAGCTTTCCACCCAGGGTTGACTTTGTTACTTTATAAAAGAGCTTCCCAATGCAAAAGCAATTAGCGCAAAAATGTTTCTACTGCTGAAACGATTACAATGAAAAAAGAGCAAAAGTCTAACTGGAAACACACATCCTAGTATTCTGAGGCTCTGGGATGAAAGTCAAAGGCAGTGAGTGGTCCCCAGCAGTAATGACAAGAAAAATCAGGTGCTCTTGAGCATTGGAGAGGAGGGGAGGCGACAGCAGGAAGGACTGAGGCTGTGGCCACTCTCTCCACCAGATCTCTGAGGCGGCCAGCTGGGTGGCACAGGCTACCTTGCTTTTCTCCTCTGGGGCCCTCACTTGGACTCCGAAACCTCTTTACGACACCACCCACCTCCTCCAGAACTAACCGGCACTCAGGAGTGTGCAGAGATCCTGGCTTCCAGCACATGTCCCAGGCGGGAGGGAGTTGGGAGACCCCCACAGTTTTGCTGGTGATTTGTGCAGTGACCCCCGGAAGTCACACTCTTGGCCTTTGGAGTCAGATGACATGGTGACTCCAGAGTCATAGGCCCGGGTGGAGCCTCCATTGGGGAGGGGTCACGTGGGGCAGGGGACCCTGAGAGCCGTCCTGGGGAGCAGAGCAGGGGACCAGGCACAGCCTCTGTAATTTCAGTGCATGCCGAAGTGACCTTGACAAAAGGATTTGTCTGCCTCTGGTAACACTAGATCCTGCCTGTGTCAGAGCTGGCGACCTTTCCAGAAAGACTTTTCTTTTGAGTGCTTCACTCCTTCCTCTCTTTTCCATTTTTTTAGGAACTAGTTATTCCAGTTTGTTTTTTCTACTCCTGGCCTTCTCTTTTATTACCTTCTTGCCCTTGCTGCTATTGTTTAAGTCACTACTTATTAGAAACACCTTCATTTGTATTTTAGCAGTTTATCCAGTGTGATGAAGTTGGCAATACAATAAATGGCCCAAATAAACACTTTCGGCCCCTTGTAGAGGTTGCAGTGAGTTACCCTATGTGTATATTCCACTGATATGGCTGATTGGCAGCAAATTCTAAAGATTTTTTAAAAGCTAAACTCAGCCACGTAAAAAAAGCATGAACAACTTTTCTTGTTTTGATTGTGACTTAAATAGAATGGACATGACTAATATTTTAGGGTATCACAAGTTATATTTTTTTGTGCTCTAAGAAGTAAATGCTATATAACTAAAATTTTGTATCAAATTGAGAGAGAGCTTGATGTTTCTCAGTGGTTTTTATTTTTTATTTTCTACTTTGTTGATAAATATTAACGGGAAAAATGTCCAGAAATTATTAAAGCAAGTTATTAGAATATTCCTATTTAACTGTCAATAAAACCAGTTTATATTAATTAGCATCTCATATGTGCAGCAGTTTGTTTAAAGTGGGATACATTTTTTTTTTTGCTAACATTTAAAGGGAAATGGGTGATGTTCCTATGTAGTACTAGACTTGAAAAACAAAATGTGTAAATTAGGATGTTTTAGGGTGCAGATACAAAATTAGTTTCAATAATAAGGAGACTTGCTACCTAATAGATGAGGAAGTCTAAAAGTAGGTCATCAAGGATCCAGGTTCTTTCTGCTTCCGGTTCTGCCACCCACAATAATGTGCCTCTGGGGGACTTAGAGTCCTGTGGTTATAGGATGGTTGTCAGGGAAGTGGAACTCTGCTTTCTGGTTTGTCTGTGATGGTGGGGGTGACAGACACTGGCTTTTCATGGCCCTGCCTTTAGAGCCAGAAAGTTTCTTTCCCAGAATCCCCCAGCACATTGGCTCCCAGGGGCCCAGGTTGGGCTGGGCCTGACCATTCCTGAAACAATCGTTGGTTGGGTCGGGGTACAGTGGTGAGTGGCAAGATGGTCACAGTTGATTAACTAAACAACTGGCAAGGAATAGATGAGGAATCAACTAAAAAGCTCTTTGCACTTTTCAGAATTTTGGTTTAATTTTTGATGACTCTGATCCAGTAGAAAATGTGATGCTCAGGTTAAACTTGCTGTATCCTGAGATTGGTGATATGACATGAAGGCCTTGGCATGTTTCTCATGTTCACTTTTTAATAGAGAAGTTTTAATGTTTTTCATTTATCCTGAATAATTGAAATTGTAGACATCTTCAGAGACAAAGGATTATTAACTAAGTTTTAGTTAGTAATTCGAAATGGCATTTGTTGTTGAAATATAACGATACAGCTAGCTCTGGCAAGGTGACCGTCTTCGTCTGGCCTATTGCTGCTTGGACGTGTTTCAAAGCCATTGCATTGCCCTTTTTTTTAAACAACACATTTTAGAACACTGGGAAATGGTTTCATATAGGAACCCCACAAATTTAAAAATCGCCATGAGGGGTGTTGGTGGGTCCCTCGCGTCCCCCATGGGTCGGTAGAATTGGGCCTAGGGTGTTGCACAGACTGGCTGGGCATCGTTTTGTGGATGTCTTCCTGGAAGGACAACTTCCCGAGTCACTTCTGCTCCAGCCGTTCCAGAGTGAAATGCCAACATTTAGATCTTAATGCTCTTCCTGGCAGATTTCCAAGCTAGTAGCTGTTGTCACTGTTCTCTTTGCTGTCTCCTTGCTTCCCGGTAGTCAGGGAAGCACAGCCAGCAGCGATGGCCTCTCCTCAGTTCTGCTGACAGCACTTCCTGTTCCCACATTGCCCCTACTTCCCCCAGAGCGAGCGACTCGGGCCTTCAGAGAAATGAGAAGTGACTTCTCCTCAGCAGGAGATTGGAGATGCCTTCTCTTAGGGTTTTGTCCCCGGCAGCCGCCTCGGCCTTGGTGCTCTGGGTGCTTCCTGCACTGTGCGTTGCTGATAGCTTCCCCCAGGAAGTCTCTGCAGCTGGTCCTCACGCAGCACTGCCACGCGGCTCTTGGTGTTTTCCATGTGCTGACTACTTAACAGTTAGGAGATGTTTATCTTCACTTTGCACATG